CCAAGTCATCTGAAAAATTTTTACCCCCGTCCTGTCCCAGGAGGAGGAAGTGAACAAATAAGACTTGATATTATACTTTTGAAAAGCAGAGTTGAAGGAATTGACAAAATAAGTGTCCACTTTATTTTAGAGGTGTATTTTCACCATGGTTACTATCTCCCAAAGACGTCTGGGGGAGTCCATTACCACTAGCTTCGGAGAGTCCATTGCTGCTAGCTTTAATTTTCTTTTTGTCTGTTTTTTTTTTTTTCCCTGGAGTCTCACTCTGGTGCTCAGCCTGCAGTATCATTCATTGCACTTTGATAGTTTAAAGAAAGAGGTTTTTCTTCTGTCTCACCATGGAGCGATGGATTCCTACTTTATTCAGTAGGTTATAATCCTATTATTTATTTTGTTGCTAAATTTTGTTGTCAAATTTGGCCAGTGGGACCTCCCCTTCCAGCCAACTCTTGTGCTCTTTTAACATGTCCCCATCATTCTTTCAGTATATCCTTTTAGGGCACAGTACGGTGTTGTAGGTTTGTTTTCTAATTTCACTGCCCTGGCCTTAACAGGTACCCGCCACCACGCTTGGCAAATTTTGTATTTTTAGTAGAGACGGGGTTTTGCCATGTTGACCAGGTTGGTCTTGAACTCCTGACCTCAAGTGATCCACCCACCTTGGCCTCCCAAAGTGCTGGGATTACAGGCAGGAGCCACCATGGCCGGCCAGTTTTGTTTGTTTCTTTAACTGCCTTATAATAGACCTTTCCCATTATAGATGAGTAACAAGCACAAAAACAAAACCCTAGATCCTTCTCCCCACAGTGAATGAGTTCTACTTTTATTTCCTTAGTAAGCTTTTCTACCTCCTGGCTTTGACAAAACTGTTCCTAATTTGGTCAAACTTGTTTTCATTTTTATTTTTTCAGAAGTTTTAAAATAGAGACAGGGTCTCACTTTGTTGCCCAGGCTAGAGTGCTGTGGCTATTCACAGGTGTAATCATAGTTCATTGCAGCCTTTAACTCCTGGGCTTAGGCCATCTTCTGCCTGAGCCTCCTGAATAGCTGGCGCTATAAGCATGCGCCACCACACCCAGCTTCATTTTTATTTTTTAGAAGACAGTATGTTTAAAAAGGGCATTAAGCCGGGCGCGGTGGCTCACATCTGTAATCCCAGCACTTTGGGAGGCTGAGGCGGGTGGATCACGAGGTCAAGAGATCGAGACCATCCTGGTCAACATGGTGAAACCCCGTCTCTACTAAAAATACAAAAAAATTAGCTGGGCATGGTGGCGCGTGCTTGTAATCCCATCGACTCAGGAGGCTGAGGTAGGATTGCCTGAACCCAGGAGGCAGAGGTTGCGGTGAGCCGAGATCGCGCCATTGCACTCCAGCCTGGGTAACAAGAGCGAAACTCCGTCTCAAAAAAATAAATAAATAAAAATAAAAAGGGCATTAAAACAATTATTTACTTAATTTTGGAATATGTAATACATTTCATTGTTCAAACCCTGAAAGGTATGAAAAGTGATGCAGTCAGCCTGGGCAACATGGTGAAACCCTGTCTCTACAAAAAAAAAATTTAAGAATTATCCAAGTATGGTGGCATGCACCCGTGGTCCCAGCTACTCAAGAGGCTGAGGCTGGAGGATCACTTGAGTCCAGGATGTAGAGGCTGCAGTGAGCCATGAACATGCCACTTCAGTGTGGGAGTCTCCAAAAAAAAAGAGAAAGTACAGAGGGTTGTTTACTTCTGACCTGCAGCTGACATATACAGAGATAACCTTTGCAGATATGTTTGTTTCCAGTTTACAGTATACTCTCATGTCTAAACAAACAGGTGTGTTTACCCCATTTGTAAATTTAAAAAATGGCCACATTATATGCAGTATTATGTACCTTCCTTTGTTCACCTAATGATATCATTATATATCACAACATTAAAAGCTTTCTCTACCTTTTTATTTATTTATTATTTTATTTATTTATTTATTTTGAGATGGAGACTTGCTTTGTCACCGAGGCTGGAGTGCAGTGGCGCCATCTCAGCTCACTGTAACTTCTGCCTCCCAGGCTGAAGTGATCCTCCTGCCTCAGCCAAGATCTTGAGTAGCTGGGATTACAGGCACCCACCACCATTCCCAGCTAATTTTGGTGTTTTCCGTAGAGACGGGGTTTAATCATGCTGGCCAGGCTGGTCTTGAACTTCTGACCTCATGATCCACCCACCTCAGCCTCCCAAAGTGTTGGGATTACAAGCATGAGCAACTGTACCTACTGGTCTACCTTTTTATTTTTTGACAGCAGTAGTTTTTATTGTTTGGTTATACTGTAATTTATTTTATCAGTTTCATATAAATTTCCAATTCTTTACTGTTATCAGTAATCCTTTAGTGTGTATCCTACAGAAATATGCACAGTTTTGTTCTATAATGCTCCTTTATAGCAAAAGAAAAATCTAAGCTCATTTTACATTTAGTTGTTGTGTCTCTTTGGTCTCCTTTAATCTGGAACAATTAGTGGATCTTTCCTTGTATTTCATGACATTGACTTATTTTGTAGAAAGTCCCTCCAGTTGGGTTTGTCTGATGTTTCCTCATGACTCAGTTAAGGCTATGCATCTTTTGGCTAGAACATCGCAGAAGTGATTCTGTGTTGTACATTATACCAGAGAGTGTGTAGTGTCAATTAGATCTATTACTGGGTGTGTTAAATTTATGCATTTGGTTAAGGTGGTGTCTGCCATATTTCTCCACTGAAAGTTATCTTTCTCTTTGTAATTAACTTGTGTTGAGATACTTTGAGACATTGTAAATATTGTTATTCCTCCAACTTGCCTGCATTCTCATCTATGATGATTCTTGCCTGATTTCTTTTCTGAATCTGATGGATGCCAAATGGAGATGTTTAATTCTGTCATTCCTTCCACTTTGATAGTTTAAAGGAAGAGGTTTTTCTTCTGTCTCACCATGGAGTGATGGATTCTTACTTTATTCAGTAGGTTATAATCCTATTATTTATTTTGTTGCTAAATTTTGTTGTCAAATTTGGCCAATGGGACCTCCCCTTCCAGCCAACTCTTGTGCTCTTTTAACATGTCCCCATCATTCTTTCAGTATATCCTTTTAGGGCATAGTAAGATGTTGTAGGTTTATTTTCTCATTTCACTGCCCTGGACTTAAAATTAGCCATTTATTTCTCCAAGGAGCCCTGGGCTCTTTTAGTGGATAATATTTAGAAGTTCAGATCTGTGTTTCAGAATTTTATTTATTTATTTATTTATTTATTTATTTTTAAGACAGGGTTTCACCATGTTGGTCAGGCTAGTCTTGAACTCCCGACCTCAGGTGATCCACCCGCCTTGGCCTCCAAAGTGCATGGATTACATGTGTGAGCCACCATGCCCAGCCTGTGTTTCAGAATTATTAACCTGTCTCTGTGGAAAAGAACCCTACTTATTAGAGCTGGTTATTTGTTCCTGTTGTCTTTAGCAAGAGGGTACTACTGAATGAGCTTGCTAATAAATGAATGTTCAAGTTATTTGGTCAGTCACCCACCCCTGCCTTCCCTTCAGTCTGGATGTTTTATTTAGTTGAAATACGTTTTCTCTGTATTGAATTTAGGGTTCCTGTCATCCTTGTTGATTTTTTTTTCTTTTCTTTCTTTTTTCTGTTTTTTGGAGACAGAGTCTCCCTCTGTTGCTCAGGCCATAGTGCAGTGGCACGATCTCAGCTCACTGCAACCTCTGCCTCCGGGTTCAAGTGATTCTCTAGCCTCAGCCTCCAGTCTTCAGTCTGGCTGGAATTACAGACATGCACCTCCACACCTTGCTATTTTTTGTATTTCTAGTAGAGACAAGGTTTCACCATGTTGTCGAGGCTGGTCTCGAACTCCTGACCTCAAGTGATCTACCTGCTCTGGCTTCCCAAAGTGCTGAGATAACAGGCGTGAACCACCATGTCCAGCCAGTTGATTTATTTTCATTTGTGTATGTGCATGAAGTAGTGTGAGAAACATTCACATGGTCCCAAATTGTACATTACAGGAAAAGGTATGTTTTCTTGTCCCCCGCCCCCAAGACAGAGTCTTACTCTATCACCCAGTCTAGAGTTTAGTGGCTCATTCTTGGCTCACTGCAACCTTCATGTCCCAACTTCAAGCAATTCTCCTGCCTGAGCCTCCTGAGTAGCTGGGATTACAGGCCCGCACCACCATGCCCGGCTTATTTTTGCATTTTTAGTAGAGACGGGGTTTCACCATGTTGTCCAGGCTGGTCTAGTCTCGAACTCCTGACCTCATGATCTTCCTGCCTTGGCCTCCCAAAGTGCTGGGATTACAGGTGTGAGCCACTGCACTGGCCGAAACAGTACATTTTATTTTAACCTTATTCCCACTCATGCTCTATAGATAACCAGTTTCATTAGTCTCTGGTTTATCCTGTGTTTCTTTTTGTTCACAATGAGCAGGTATATGTATATTTTCTTATATATTTCTTAGACATAAAAACAGTATACTAGAGATATTCCTTTGCACTTTGCTTTTTCACTTAATAATGTGTCCTGGAAGGTACTCCAGATCTGTTCATAGAGACCTTTTTCATGCTGTGTGTGTCTGTGTGTGTGTGTTTTACTGTTGCATAGAATTGTCATGTAAATGTACCATATCATCTGTGTTTGGGCACTTGGGTTGTTTCTAATATTTTGCAATTATCAGACAGTGCTGTAATGAATAACCTTATGCATGAGATTTTGCATTGTTGGAGGTATATCTTATGGGTGAATCCTCAGGAATGAGATTGCTAGGTCTAAAGGTAGTTGTCTATGTGGTTTTTTTAGAGATTGCATTTCTACCAGCAGTATATGCATGCTTGCTTCTCCATAGCCTCACAAACTGAGTGTCTTACACTTTCTCAGTTTTGCTAATTTAGAGATGAGAAATGGTATCTCATTGTAGTTTTAATTTGCTTATCTCTTATGAAACTACGGTCTTTTAAAATTTAAACTTTTTTTTTCCCTTAGACGAAATTGCAAAGGAAATCCGAATTGCTTGGTTGGTATTGGTGAGCATATTTGGTTAGGAGAAATAGATGAAAATAGTTTTCATAACATCGATGATCCCAACTGTGAGAGGAGAAAAAAGGTAAACTATCATTTTTAAAACGATTGCTATATGCTATTTTTTTGGTTTTTGTTTTTGCTTTTGTTTTGGGCCTGTCTGTGATCAGAAAACACTACTGATTTCAGGTATCCTGTGCAACTTTAAGATAAATAGTAGAACTTAAGACTCTAAGCCACTTGAATTAGAACACTTTTTAATGGTGTGCTTTAAAACAGGCAGCTGCGTAATTCAGTAAGCCTTTTAATAATACTTTTAGTTTGAATGCTGATTCTGTGTTTGCTTTAACATTGCCTGTTTTATTTCAAACTCTTTTAAAGTCTTTTTTTCTTGCTCAGTATCACAGAATCCTAAAGTCTTTTTAAAGGAGATGGTAATTCAAGGGAACAAACTGATAATGATAGCATTTTGCTTTCTAGGGTTTGTATTTTATATATAATGTTGCTTTTTAAAAATATACATGAAATTTTCTAAACATAAAGCTTAGCATTCAGAAAATAGCCTAGTTTGTTGTCTAGATAGTTTAATAAAAGAATAATTCTTTGTAAGGTCAGGAATTCTCAATCTTATCTTTGGAAAAAGTTGCAACCAGTTCCCTCTACTGCCCCCAATCTTCCAAAAAATCTCTATAGACTGTAAAGGAAGTTTTCTGCATAAGTTTTACTTTGTCATTCTACTGAATGCTGGCAGCTTAGAAATACAGCAGACGTAAAGCCTATATACGCTTGTTCAAAACCGATCTTTTCTAGAATCCACTGTTCTAATTTTAGATTTAAGGGGCTGGAGAAGACGATATGCTAGAGATGAGCAGTGATGCTGTCCGAAGTCTTTTTCACTCCTGTGGCCAACCCAAAATGGGGCTCTCATGAAAATTATGCCCCCCCTCCAGCCAAGAGAAACTTAAGGTGGCTATACCATGTTGGTTGTGACAGTCTTACAAATTTTTAATTGAAAATTTAAGAATAATGCTTAGAAATTTGTTGTTTAAAGAAAAATGGATTTTATAATTGTAAATTTTGTATTTTTGTAGAACTCATTCGTCGGCCTGACTAATCTTGGAGCCACTTGTTACGTCAACACGTTTCTTCAAGTGTGGTTTCTCAACTTGGAGCTTCGGCAGGCACTCTACTTATGTCCAAGCACCTGTAGTGACTACAGGCTGGGAGACGGCATCCAAAAAGAAAAAGGTGGGTGGAAAGGGGTCGGGAAGAGCTCTCTTCCTGAACATTTTTTTAAACAACGTCTTCTTTTTTTTTGGATTTTGAGTCTTGCTCTGTTGCCCAGGCTGGACTACAGTGACTCACTTCAACCTCCGCCTCCTGGGCTGAAGTGTTTCTCCTGCCTCAGACTCTTGAGTACTTAGGATTACAGGCGCTGGTCACCATGCCTGGCTAACATTTGTATTTTTAGTAGAATCAGGGTTTCACTGTGTTGGCCAGGGTAGTCTCGAACTCTTGACCTCAAGCGATCCACTTGTCTTGGCCTTCCAAAGTGCTGGGATTGCAGGTGTGAGCCACTGTGTTAGGGCTAAACTTTTTTATTTTTATTTTTTGAGATGGAGTTTCGCTCTTGTTGCCCAGGCTGGAGCGCAATGGTGCAATCTCAGCTCACCGCAACATCTGCCTCCCAGGTTCAAGCGATTCTCCTGCCTCAGCCTCCTGAGTAGCTGGGATTACAGGCATGAGCCACCATGCCTGGCTAATTTTGTATTTTAGTAGAGGTGGGATTTCCCCCTGTTGGTCAGGCTGGTCTTGAACTCCTGGCCTCAGGTGATCCACCTGCCTCCGCCTCCCAAAGTGCTGGGATTACAGGCATGAGCCACCGTGCCTGGCCTAAACTTATTTTATGTTATTATTTTTTTTTTTTTTTGAGACGGAGTTTCGCTCTCGTTACCTA